ATTTGGCTAGTATTGTTTAATATGACATACTTATGAACATTTGAACTTACAAACTTCTGGAATCTCTTCTCTTTGTAATTAGAGAAGCTCCTTTATATTCAGCATATGTTATTTTGTAATGCACAAAACATATCACACTATATGTGATGAAAGCCTGCTTAAATTTACCAATGTTTCATGAATCAGCTGAAGTATTTACAACATTCGTTGATCTTTATATATATATATATATATATATATATATATATATATATATATATATAGAGAGAGAGAGAGAGAGAGAGGTAGATAGAGAGAGAGAGATAGAGAGAAAATAATAAGATTTGGAAAAGGACGTAATGTTTTTTTTATATTTAACTAGACGAATTACTCGTGCTTTGCTGCGTGTCACATATTTTTTGTAAGAAAATAATGATTTTAAATCATTGTTATAATTTGTGGAGAAAAAATGATGCATTTCAATGTTACTCAGTGATCTTGCCGATGTGACCTCCATCTTCTGGCTTTCTTCTTCTATATTTTGGATAAGACTTATTCCCTTGTTCAAATTTAAATTTAATTTAAATCAAAATGAAATATATTTATCCAAGTACCCTGGGTAATGTAACCTCAGACTGAAATAATTAAATAAAGATGTACAGAGAGAGGAGGGAGATAAATAGCGATTGATAGATAGATAACTTTGTACTCACTAAAATGGAGATATATGTGTGTGTATATATATATATATATATATATATATATATATAGAGAGAGAGAGAGAGAGAGAGAAGAGTGGGGTGGGTAAATCAAATAACTACAAATTAGCAAACATACATGTACGCGTTAGCGTGCATACACTGGTAAGCAAATAAAAATTTACCAAATTTACCTTAAGGTGTAAATATAATAGTACTTAATGTTGTTAGACAGAGCTAAGAAATATATATTAATAAATATGCATATACCTACGTTTGGGGTGCAACTTACGTTTCATTGTTTTAACAACTCATCAGGCACGAAATGAGTTAGTAAAACATCGAAACTTAGCTACAGGCAGAAAAATAAAACAGGGTTGTAACTTAACATAAAACCTTGAGGATTTATTGTAAATAAGTCTCACCCCAAACGTAGGTATATGTATATTTATTAATATATATATATATATATATATATATATATATATATATATATATATATATATATATATATATATATATATATTGATCATCCACAGACTGTAGAAAAACAATAAAAAAAAGCACTTACCGGCGTAAGAGTTCCAACAGAATAGCGTCCAGCTGGCAGACAAAAATAAAACAGGTTGTAACTTAATACAAAACCCTGCAAACTAACTGAGAAATCATGCAGGAAGTATTTATATAGAAAAGAAATACTTCCACTCACACGAACCAGCAGCCAATCACAGCCCAAGCAATGGACTATCCCACTTTAGCATAATGAGATGCTCCATTGCACCATAAATTGCTCTCTTTCTCAATGTTGAATTAGGATTCACTCAGCTTGCTCTACAACTGAGTGTTTATCTTGACCACGATTGTTCGACACAGACAGACAGAGTGTTTCTCTGTATCACAGCTCATCAGTGTGGCTAAACATCCGAATGGCTCAAGCCAGGATCGAAATATATTATTTTTCCAGTCACTGCGCTGTTTTACGCTGTGTCATTTTCCTAAATTATTTCCTCTCTTTTTTTTCTTTAAAGGAATTGGTTGACTTGGCGACATTTCGAATTAATTTCACTTCTTTTATCCATCAAATTCTGCTTGTTTTATAATAATACTCTAATTTTTAAAGTTCCTTCACGCATAAACTGAAATGTAATCCTGTATTTCTGTTAATCTTACTTTTTTATATTCTATTCTATTCATGGGATTTTGTTTAATATTTAACACCCGTATGGATTTTGACATCATGTTATATACTTAAATGAAACAGGATTTGGATAATTCTCCTTGAATTCCTTCACAGTTACACCAATGTAAATTCTTTCTTCCTTTTGATTTCTTTTTTTCTTTTTTTTTTTTTTTGGTAACTTTTGTCATGTATAATATGTCATCCTCTTTCAATTAGCTTTCAATGGACCTTTGTTTAATTGTTTTATAGATTTACATTTTCCTTATAACGTTTTCTGTTGTTGATATTTAGAAAAAGAGAACCGTTATATGTCATATGTTAATTTTTTTTCAAAATAAAGAGAGACTTTGAAGTTAGGATGCTTGTCTCCGTTGGTAGTTGCATAATTAAAAGAAAAAAAAACTTGTAGTTCCAACGAATGATCTATTTTTTATGGAAATATTTCGACTAGCAGTTACCAGTTTTGGTCAATCCTTAATTTGAGTAAAAAGAATGCAAAGAAGCTCGGAACGTTTAAGAATTCAAATCAAGGAACACAAACCGAGTTGATGACGTTAACAACGTAATAGCAATCTGAGGCGTAAAAAAAAAGGATTTTGTTTTTTACTCTATAAATTGACATTTTTTTTGTCATATATTTTTCTTTGGAGCAGAGATGTCCAGACAGGATGTAGTTGTGCTGCATCTATCCTATTGCAGACATTTTTTTGGAGTTGCTATTACCATTTGTTCAGCTACTCTTCTTTGATTGAAATGTTTTTTGTTCGAAAACTTTATTTCCGGATAATCGAAGTCAATTCTGTGACCTTCGGTAATGGCATGTAATGCAATCGCTGAAGTTTTTTCCAATTTTTGTTTTTCGTTATCATTTTAAATTACCCTATCGCAAAGTCTTCGATGTTCATCCAGTCGTTCTTTCAATGATCTTGAAGTCATGCCCATATAACTTGTTGAGCAATTCATGCAATTAATTTTGTTGATCAGATTACCATTACTTGTAACTGATCTTTCATCTTTTACTCTGATGAGCGCCCTTCCTATTGTGTTGAAACAGGAGAATACAACTCGTATATGTATCTGTTTAAAAAATTCGTTTGAGAGCTTCTAATGTGTTTTCTTCATACAGTATGTTTACCGTTAAAACTTTTTCAGAACTAGAGTCTATATTTTTCTCAATGGCATTGTTGTTTATTCTGTCTTGTTGGTACAGTAATCTTTTAGGATATCCATTCTTTTGAAGGCTATCTATTATATTCTGCTGCTCAAGTTTTTTATCCAATGGATCCGAACAAATTTTCTCTGCTCCTTTGAAGAATACTATTGTAATTCATTTTTCTGTACTAACGCTGTGACACGAATTGAAATGCAAGTATCGATCTGTAGATGTGGGTTTTCTAGAAACAGTCGTTTTTTTTAATTCTCTTCCTTTTTTTGTACTAATGCTGTGATACCAATTGATATCCAAGTATCGATCTGTAGATGTGGGTTTTCTAGAAAAACTGCCGTTTTTTAATTCTCTTCCTTTTTTTGTACTAATGCTGTAACACCAATTGATATCCAAGTATCGATCTGTAGATGTGGGTTTTCTAGAAACAGTCGTTTTTTTTAATTCTCTTCCTTTTTTTGTACTAATGCTGTAACACCAATTGATATCCAAGTATCGATCTGTAGATGCGGGTTTTCTAGAAAAACTGCCGTTTTTTAATTCTCTTCCTTTTTTGTACTAATGCTGTGACACCAATTGATATCCAAGTATCGATCTGTAGATGTGGGTTTTCTAGAAAAACTGCCGTTTTTTAATTCTCTTCCTTTTTTTGTACTAATGCTGTGACACCAATTGATATCCAAGTATCGATCTGTAGATGCGGGTTTTCTAGAAAAACTGCCGTTTTTAATTCTCTTCACAGGATTTTGTTTAATATTTTTTTGTACTAATGCTGTGACACCAATTGATATCCAAGTATCGATCTGTAGATGCGGGTTTTCTAGAAAAACTGCCGTTTTTAATTCTCTTCCTTTTTTACTAATGCTGTGACACCAATTGATATCCAAGTATCGATCTGTAGATGTGGGTTTTCTAGAAAAACTACCGATCTATTTTTTTAATTCTCTTCCTTTTTTGTACTAATGCTGTGACACCAATTGGTATCCAAGTATCGATCTGTAGATGTGGGTTTTCTAGAAAAACTGCCGTTTTTAATTCTCTTCTTTTTTTGTTCTAATGCTGTGACACCAATTGATATCCAAGTATCGATCTGTAGATGTGGGTTTTAGAAAAACTGCCGTTTTTTAATTCTCTTCCTTTTTTTGTACTAATGCTGTGACACCAATTGATATCCAAGTATCGATCTGTAGATGTGGGTTTTCTAGAAAAACTGCCGTTTTTTAATTCTCTTCCTTTTTTTGTACTAATGCTGTGACACCAATTGATATCCAAGTATCGATCTGTAGATGTGGGTTTTCTAGAAAAACTGCCGTTTTTAATTCTCTTCTTTCATTTCTCGTAACCAAGCAATCTATAAACAGCAGACTCATGTCTTTTTCTAATTCCATTTCTTTCGGAAAAGCTCATATAACTTTTTGATATGTTCATTTGAACATATAATACCTCTGAGCATTAAATATGGATAAGATTTTTGGAATTTCATATTTTATTGTCCACCAAATGTCAAATATAATTTTTTTGGATGATTAATCTAAACATTTCTGTTAGAAAATACATATTTCATTTGCAAAATACTCCATCCCACTCAATATGTTATTGTATTGTTTCACATGTTAAAATGCAATACTCCTCATTCTCTAAGCCTTTTCAGTCTCAAATCATGATTTTCTTATATTTTCGAATGTATTATCTTTACATTTTCGAATCTATTATTTTTTTTCAGCTGTTTTTATTTCTCCTTGTATTTGTTCTCTGCTTGAACCCTGTTTTCTTATTCATATATACATTGGTTTAAACGTTTACCCCATGGTTTCTATTCGATTAATATCTGAAATAGCTGGGAGGCTTTCATTTATTTCGTATCTTATAAGGTTTCTGGGCAAAGTGGATAATAATCAGTTCTCCAAAACTCGGAAAAGGATTCGTATTTGTGTCCTGTTCCACTCCAAAAAATAATTCTCTTCAATTATCTTGATAGAAACAACTTTCAAAGGACCAATATACCTACAGTAGAAACTTAAAACTATCTACTACCCACGTTCGTTGTCTTCCTGTGTAAGTTGAGTATTTCAGTGAAGATGACAAACGCGAGCCTAGCAATCGGTTCCAGCCAAGACAGCTCGATATTAGTTAATAAATTTTACTGCTAATTTTTTTTCCAACAATTACTTTGCGCATTATACACGGTGTAATGTTTTTTAATCATTTCGCCTCATGCAAGGCAGTAAAGCCACTAAGATATAAGGAGGTTACTGAGTGTGAAAGAATAAGAAAAAAGAGAAACATTATTAAGGAGCGAGAACAATAGAAGAGTAATCAGGAAGACAGTAGATAACGATTGGCATTGCATTTAAATTTGTTTCCTGGCCATTCCAACGCATGCAAGGTAGTAAAGCCCCCAAGACACAAGTGGTTACTGAGTGTGAAAGAATATGAAAAAAAAGAGAAACATTATTAAGGAGCAAGAACAATAAAAGAATAATCAAGAAGACAGTAGATAGCGATTGACAATGCATTTAAATTTGTTTTCTAATCATTTCACCCCATGCAAGGCAGTAAAGCCACTAGGAAACAAGAGATTACTGAGTTTGAATGAATGAGAAAAAAGGGAAACATTATTAAGGATTGAGAACAATAGAAGAGTAATCAAGAAGACGGTAGATAATGATTGACATTGCATTTAAATTGTTGAAGATCAATATTGGCTGAGAAGCATGGAACCAGAGCACAGTCCAACAAACGAGAAGTGCGAGAAAAGAAATTCGTAGCATAGAACTTACGGCTACAACTAGCCAGTCCAACTGTAAATTGATGAAGCCTTGTTGCCAATCAAGTATAGGGTTTTCATCAAGTAAGATGGCGAAGAGTTCATGCGAAAGTTTACTATGAAAATATTTATAGAAAAGACCCAGGGAAGCTATATTTTGGCGGCGGGAAAATGACTGGAGCCGAGATGCCAGGTCAAGACCAATAATATTGCTGATTATTCTTTAGATTTTATCAAGAATCTCTCTAGATATAGAAGGAGTACCCTTACCGTACGCGACAGCAATATTCAAAGCATAGATGAATTGTAGGATAGATTCAGTTCTAGAAAAATTGTCTAGCACGATACAGTGATCTATATTTCTTAGCGGTAGACCCAGCAATGGATTCAATATACTTTTCACACTTCATGTCAGCCAAGAATGTTATTTCGAGGAGATAGAAAAGTCATCCTCCTGGAGGTTAGCATCAGCCATACGGATGGAATGAGGTAGAAAAGAGTTTATCAGATGATTAGTAGTTTGCACTTTCATTTTGGCGGCGTTATAATTAACAAGCCATTCCTTGCACCAGTTAACAACAGATTGTGGATCATTTTTACATCAGCTGCCAATTTCTCATTATCGAACTGATTAATCTTATTGTCGAGACGGGAGTAAATATTTGTATCATGAAAAGAAATGTTGAATTAAGACCTGATGTCATCAATAAGTAGTTTAGTTGATTTCATATCTTCAAACGCTGTTCATCATATTAAGTATTTCGTCTCTGTTTATATTAGCAATTCCTTTTTCTTCAAATATTTGCTTGCTGGTCGATCCAATTTTCTTTCATATTAACCTTTTAATCTTACGTAAATAACTTTTTGGGGGTAATATCCTAAGAGAATTATGTTTGTTTCTATTCCAGTATTATTTTCACTTATTTATTTATTGAATATTGCAATATCTTGTTTATCTCTTGAAATTATATCTTTAGTACCTACAAAGAAAATCTTTTTATTTCTAAGAGTAATAATAATGATAAAAACAAAAGGCTCCCAAATTTAACATGTTACACAGGCTAGCAGTACTTGTGCGAGAGAACACTCAATAGATAACTGCGAATATGATATTCCATAACTTGAGAAAATTTCAAGTGACTTATCTGACCGACCGACTTCAGAGTTTCGCGTCAAGGCAATCATCACGGCCAGACATTTCATAAATCAATCATTTACGTAATATTTAAGCCCGATGGACGTTTTGACAGGAATCTCTTAAGTCGCTCAGTCAGATAACTCACTTGACCTTTTCTTCACAGAATGCTTCTAAAATTAGAATAGCGATACAGTAAATTTTATTTACAGAATCGGTCTATATTTCTGACATGAGGTATTATGTAGACTAGTTACATTATTCGAACTATTGTCCTCATCTTTGTCACCATATTTATTACAACGTTTCGGCCCTTTAGTATCTGTCTATATTTCTGAGATGAGGTATTATATACACTATTTACATTATTCGAACTATTGTCCTCATCTTTGTCACCATATTTATTACAACGTTTCGGCCCTTTAGTATCTGTCTATATTTCTGAGATGAGGTATTATGTATACTATTTACATTATTCGGACTATTGTCCTCATCTTTGTCGCCATATTTATTACAACGTTTCGGCCTTTCAGTATCTGTCTATATTTCTGAGATGAGGTATTATGTACACTATTTACATTATTCGGACTATTGCCTCATCTTTGTCGCCATATTTATTACAATGTTTCGGCCATTGTAAGCTCTGAACTTCTTCAGGTAGTTGGAATGTCGAACTGAACCTTTTATTTCGCTCACTGTGGTAGACTGTTCTAGTTCCACGTGCCATGTCTAATGGATGTCAGTTATCAGTTATCAGTTATCTCCTGTTAATTCCTCTATCCAAGTTCTCCACTGCTTTAACTGTGTATTGAACTCACACTCTTTGGCTCCTGTTGCTGGATGTTACCAACGCCTTTATTCACTTTATCCTTGAGGCCACTATTTACATTATTCGGAGTACTGTCCTCAGCTTTGTCGCCGTATTTATTACAATGTTTCGGCTGTTGTACGCTCCGGCCTTCTTCAGGTGGTTGGAATGTCGAACTGAACCCTTTATTTCGCTCACGGGGGTAGACTGATCTAGTTCCACAAGGACACATGGCACAGTGGATAAAGGCGTTGGTAACATCCAGTGAGTGTGAGTTCATAAAGGCGTTGGTAACATCCAAAGAGTGTGAGTTCAATACCCGGTTAAGACAGTGGAGAACTTGAGGAGGGGAATTAACAGGAGATAACTGATAATTGACATCCATTAAACATGGTACATGGAACTAGAACAGTCTACCCCAGTGAGCGAAATAACGGGTTCAGTTCGACAATCCATCCACCTGAAGAAGGCCGGAGCGTACAACGGCCGAAACATTGTAATAAATATAGCGACAAAGATGAGGACAATAGTCCGAAAATTGTATTTACAATATGATAAACAAGCCCTGACATTTATAGGAGAATCTCATAGCATCAGCCGTACGACTATATCTATCTCAGTTTATCTATCTTTCTTGAATTTAATCATTTTATTCCAGATAATTTCATATCTTTAATCATCTCTAAGATACTAGGTTTCAAATCTTAATCCAACAAATGGACAGTTTTGCTTTTCTACGATTTGGACAGTTTTGCTGTTTTGTATATATATATATATATATATATATATATATATAATCTGAATGTAGAAATTTCCATAACTAAACGGGTTGAAATGAACATAACGGAAGAAATAAAATCCATAAAAATAAGATAGAAGATTGGCATGTGGCATATGTCCCTGAGGAGAAAATGTCTTCTTGTCATCCCAATATTTGGAAATTTTGGAGTTGCACTAAGAATAACCAAAGGCTAACTGAAGTCAAAATTGAACAGTAAACGGTCGAGGAAGCACATAAAAGAGGAAGCTACATATTCCCCCCTTGTGGATTCTGATGGGCGAATGTAGAGACTTGTTCTAAATTACAACGAAGATAATTATATCCCTGACTACGAGAAGAATTGCGCATAATATCAGTTATAAGAAATCCAGTTTTTAATTATTAAATTAATTAAATTAAAACGCCAAGTATTATTTATTTACCCGTTTTTAAAAGGATTTCGATACGTTGATTAATAAAATTAGAACCCGTTTAAAATTTTTAATTTTTATGCCTTTCCTGTGAATTTTCCTCCAGGTGAACTTTCCTCGAACTTTCATTAGACGGGGAAACATACTGGCCGTCGTTTCTTCCGGTATTTATCGATCGTTTGTCGATCTGGATAACATTCAAGGAATTTACAAGTGAACACTTTATTTAATCTATTAGTTTAGATTGTTCTCATTCCGCCGAACTTGTTTCACGATATCTTGTCTTGTTCTTAATTAGGGTAACTTTTTTTAATGCTCGTCATCTTCTCCCTTAGTCTAAGTCTGCAATACCAGGCTTGGGGGACTAAAATCACAATTACGCTATCTCTAACGCTTTAGAGCACTCGGCTATATTTCCAGTGGGACAATCCTGAGTCTAAAACTTCTAGCCTCAAACAAACCCTACCTATTGATAAGATTACTGTTGCTTGTCACTGCATTCGACAACGCTCTTCTTTTCTTACTGCTGCTGTTGTTCATGATGACGATCGTCTTTGAGTGTAGAATTCAGAGGTTAGCAGTGAATATTTCGAAGACAGTAGGAAAGTGTTGTTCAGGTTAGCAGTGGATATCCCGGTAAAGTAGCAGACCGTAGTTCTTCCTTCTGTTCCTCTTCGCAAAGGATGATGTCATGGCGTTTTTGTATTCTGAGGTAGCCTAAGAATTTCGATTCCCACAATTCATATCTCGATTCATTCCCGTCAAAATATAGTCGTGGTCTGCGCTCATAGCAAATGTTGTTCATGATGACGGTCGTCTTTGAGTATAGAATCCAGAGGTTAGCAGTGAATATTTCGAAGACAGTAGGGAAGCGTTGTTCAGTTTAGCAGTGGATATTTTGGTAAAAGTAGCAGAGCGTAGTTTTTCCTTCTGTTCCTCTTCGCCTGACAAGCTGGCACTGGACATTCGGGTAGAGTAGACAAAATGGCCGCCTTTATACACGACAGATTGAATATTCTACGTCTTTTGATTGGTTAGCCTTCTACTGGTGGACTATAAAATGAGTCAAGTCATTTGAGCTGGCTCACTAGTACATAGCATGCACAAAAAACTGCAACAGCTGTTGCAGTTGAAGCATTTCTGCCATGTCTTTT